ATATATATAATTATTATAATGCCAAGCTTAAGGCCACCATAGATCTAGAATGTTCATACACCTCGTCTGCGAGCAATTTATAGTGGTAAGTAGTACTAGTACGTAGTATATAGTGTAGCACCTGGCCTGGTAGTAGTACTAGATTACTACAAAGTTCTGTACTGCTACTAGTACTAGTAGTACAGTATACATATATATATAATAATATACGAGCTAGTAAACTGGTAGGCCGTATTTTTGACATTAAATTAAACAAACCCCGCCTCATGATGCTGGGTGTGTGGGCTCGTATATGGGTTTCGGATGGTTCGGGAAGGCTCTTGACAAGTGACCCCACATACTGTTTGCAAAAGCCTCTAGCTAGATCTTGATCGGTAATTATCCTATACGTGTACTCGAAGCACTGCACTAGCTGCCAGCTCCATGTAAAGATTAATTCGAACACGATCGAGGCTGAGGTAACAGCTAGGATGCCCCAGACCCTCGACTCTACATTGCTCACAAAACTAGAAGGATTACAGATCACATAGGGCTTGAAGCCATCTTGCTCCTAAATGATCGAGGTTCCAAGCCAGCATCCGAAGCTTAGGCCCTCAAGCCCGATTTCTGACTCATATATGGAGATACCCCGTTGCGATCTACAGCCCGAGTGATATATAATAAAATAAATTAAACAAGGAACTTCAGATCTAGAATAACCTCTCTACCTAGCGATCTAACCATCAGACCAAGCCCGAACTCCAAAGGTGATGATGGGCTGGCGGCTGGATCCTCGCGGACCCTTGCATGCAGACAAGTAACGAAAGCCATGGGCGATAGATCCCACTCCAGAGAAGAGTTCGAAGACATCGAGATCCTGAGTTTATAGACGGTACAGATATTGATGAGTTCAGGGTCGACATGCGAGTCTATAGACATGTTTTGCGTAAAGTTTAATTTGTAAGTCAGGGTTCCCGCATGCATGGGACCGAACTCCTTGTCGTTACAGAGCAGCAGTAATCGACGGCATGCACCCTCAGCTAGCATAAACGTCGGCTGGTGCAGTCGGCCGCACATGTTCCATGATCGCACTATCGAAGCCAAGCAGCAGCACAGGGGGCACATGCAGCATCAAGAGCAAACTCGTCGAAATGAAGCTCATCTGCAGTGGACCATACCTTTGTCGATCCTCCATTTCAGGACCCTCATCAACATCCATTGGCGCCAGCATTGTTCAACAGTGCCTAGATATCTAGATGCACATGTGGAAGCCAAGAAGAGGTGTAACCCATATTCTGAAGATGCGCTTGCATGTACATGTAGCATCATCATCATGATAGATCATGCTGCTGCAATTGAGCACGTGCCTGCAAGATCAGATCCAGATCATGTAATGCAGCTGCAGGGCATGAACGAACGGGTGTACAGTGTACATGAGCTCATGCAGGTATACATGTTTTCACTACTGCATGCGCCTTTAAAGTGCGCGCATGTGCATGCTTCGACACATGCATCCCTGCCGGCCGCATTCACTCCGACCCGTA